CTCACTCTCTCTTAGTCTCTTTCTCTCTCTCACACATTTTGATCTATGTATTCTTAGTTAATTTTTTTACCCTGCTTTGCTTATAGTTTTTAAATTTTTTTTTTTTTGTTTTGTTATAAAATAAAGGCATAGTTAAAATCTATGTCAAGATGCGTCATTGACTTATGTCTAGTAAGGCGGGTCAAGTGGGGCACCACACGAAGCCTATATTTCTATGTGACGTTCATGAAAAATGAGGGGGGGGGATGTGCGCCAATAAAGTACCTTGCCCCTAGCGCACGTTTTGCTCACTACGCCTCTGCTCTACGTATCTTAAGATCACGGGTTTTATTTAAGGAACGATCATACCAAGTTTCATAAAGATTGGTCAAAGGGTTTTGATCTCTATAAAGGTCTTATAACATACTCTTTACATTTTACATTATATATTAAAAATTTCTATCTATCTATCTATCTATCTATCTATCTATCTATCTATCTATCTATCTATCTATCTATCTATCTATCTATCTATCTATCTATCTATCTATCTATCAATCTATCTATCTGTCTGTCTGTTTGTCTGTCTGTCTATCTATCTATCTATTTATCTATCTATCTATCTATCTATCTATCTATCTATCTATCTATCTATCTCTATCTAGAACCAGTGATTCTCAAACTGTGGTACACTAAACTCGGGTCCGCTAGTAAACAATAAAAAAAAACTTCTTTGCTAAAAGCCAAATTATCCGTTTGGATTATATGACTACTAATATGTCTGCTATTCTTTGACGACCTAAACCAAAGACTGGAAGACATTCTTCTTTTGGATATTCCCGACTGGGTGTTGAACCCATTTGGACAAACTCAGATTCCAATCAGAAATTAATTTATATTCGTACAGGAGCAGCTTATTGAGAAATTCACAAACGAGATTGCAAAGCAATGTCTGAACATTGGAAATCAGAGAACATTTTATATCCTGCATTAAAGAACTTGGAAACCACACATTGGAAATCAGAGAACATTTTATATCCTGCATTATAGAACTTGGAGACCACACATTGGAATTCAGAGAACATTTTATATCCTGCATTATAGAACTTGGAGACAAAACATTGGAAATCAGAGAACATTTTATATCCTGCATTATAGAACTTGGAGACCACACATTGGAAATCAGAGAACATTTTATATCCTGCATTATAGAACTTGGAGACCACACATTGGAAATCAGAGAACATTTTATATCTTGCATTATAGAACTTGGAGACAAAACATTGGAAATCAGAGAACATTTTATATCCTGCATTATAGAACCTGGAGACCACACATTGGAAATCAGAGAACATTTTATATCCTTCATTATAGAACTTGGAGACCACACATTGGAAATCAGAGAACATTTTAAATCCTGCATTATAGAACTTGGAGACCACACATTGGAATTCAGAGAACATTTTATATCCTGCATTATAGAACTTGGAGACCACACATTGGAAATCAGAGAACATTTTAAATCCTGCATTATAGAACTTGGAGACCACACATTGGAAATCAGAGAACATTTTATATCCTGCATTATAGAACTTGGAGACCACACATTGGTAATCAGAGAACATTTTATATCCTGCATTATAGAACTTGGAGACAAAACATTAGAATTCAGAGAACATTTTATATCCTGCTTTATAGAAATTGGAGACCTCACATTGGAATTCAGAGAACATTTTATATCCTGCTTTATAGAAATTGGAGACCACACATTGGAAATCAGAGAACATTTTATATCCTGCATTATAGAACTTGGATACCACACATTGGAATTCAGAGAACATTTTATATCCTGCATTATAGAACTTGGATACCACACATTGGAATTCAGAGAACATTTTATATCCTGCATTATAGAACTTAAAGACCACACATTGGAATTCAGAGAACATTTTATATCCTGCATTATAGAACTTGGAGACCACACATTGGAAATCAGAGAACATTTTATATCCTGCAATTTAGAACAGCACACTATTTTTTCTTGGCACAGTCTGCAAGAGAGCTCATAGCTAGACGAAGAAATATCCTGCATTATGGGTTAGTGTAAAAAAATTCTTGGCTGCTTCCACGTCTACTTATCTGGTATTACGGTATGTAGAAATAAGAGATTGTGGGGATTAACGCATTTCCATGCTGACATTGAGACGAGCATGAATACAGTCATAAAATCACATCAACCACACCCAAGTCAATATTGTTTCAAAGCTTACATCAACTTACTCTGTCTGTCTGTGTGTCTGTCGAGTAGAAAGTTGTACACGTTATTTTTAAACCTTACCTTACCTTTACCTTTCCCTTAGCCTGTTGGACCGTTGGGGCACCAGGCATGATTTGTCGACCGTCTTTCTCCATTCCTCCCTTTTTTTTGCCTTGTTTAGAACCTCTCTCCATGGCAGGCCCGTCCATTCTTTAATGTTGTCCTCCCATCCTTTTTTCTGTCTGCCTCTTCTTCTTTCCCCTGGCTCTGTTCCCTGAAGGAAGGTCTTTGCGAGCCCCATAGATCTTGTAATGTGGCCAAAGGTTTTAAGCTTTCGTCTTTTTACAATAGTTAGCAGGTCGTCATGGGCTCCGATCGCTACAGTAACCCTGTCTCTGATTTCTTGGTTTGTGATGCGGTCTTTGAAAGTGATGCCTAGGATCCTTCTGTAGCATCTCAATTCCATTGCCAAGATCCTCCTCTCAAGCTCTGCATTCAACTTCCACGACTCGCAAGCATATATAAATGTGGCCATGACCAGAGAGGCATCAGTCTAATTTTGGTGCCGAGGGCTAAGCCCTTATCTTTCCATATTATTTCAAGTTTTGAAAGGGCTGCTGTGGACTGTGCTATTCGGGCCAATAGTTCGGGTTTTGTTCCCTCATCGGAGGCAATAGCTCCGAGGTATTTGAAGCTGTTAACACTAGTTAACTTTCAACCTCCAATACTGATGCCTCTTTTAAAGCCATGATAGCTATTGGTCATAATTTGAGTTTTTTCGGCATTTATTTGCATGCCATATACTGTGGAAGTCTTGTCAATGCGCATCACCAGGTCAGCTAGTTCTTCTGTCCCTGCTAGGCCGTCAATGTCATCTGCGAAGCGCAAGTTAGTAATTCTTCTTCCTCCAATGCTAACAGTACCTTCATAGCCCTCGAGGGCATCTTCCATTATCCTTTCAAGGAAGATATTGAAGAGTGTTGGTGGCAGTAGGCAGCCTTGTCTTACTCCAACTGTGGTTTGAACCAGTCCCCAATATTATTGATGAAGTACACCGCACTGGTGGCATCCTTGTAGAGGTTCTGGATAACTTTGGTTATGTTTTTTATTAATGTTGTACTTTTCCATTGTCACCCAGAGTGCTCCGTGCCATACTCGATCGAAAGCTTTCTTGAAATCAATAAAGACATGGAAAAGATTCTCTTGGTGTTGGAGATATTTCTCACAGAGTATTCTGAGGTTTAGAATTTGTTCTGTTGTGCTGCGACCTTGTCTAAAACCGCTTGTTCTTATGATATGATGTTGTCTGCTATCGGTTTTAGCCGGTTTAATATGATTTTTAACAGTACTTTGTTCGGATGACTTATGAGGCTGATGGTGCGATAGTTTTGACAGAGTTGTAAGTTGCCTTTCTTTGGAAGGGTTATTATGAGTGATTGGATCCAGGGTTTGGGTCATTCTTCTGATTGCCAGATCTTGTTGCTAATCATGTAGATTTAGTTTATCATAGTTTCTCCTCCCACCTGAAGAAGTTCACCAGGAATGTTGTCAACTCCGGCCGATTTTCCCTTTTAGGTCTTTTACTGCTGCTGCTACTTCCGAGCGAAGAATTGGATAGTCGTCAATGTTGGAGACTGCCGGGACATTTAGTATCTCTGGATCTCCTGAGATTTCAAAGTTCTACAACTCTGAACAGTATTCCGTCCATCTTGTCAACACATCTTTGTCCTCGGTGAAACATTTGTTGTTTTTGTCTTGTATTGTGTTGGTTCTTCCATGCTTTGAGCTAGTCAGGTTCTTTACTAATTGGTACGCTTTTTTGCTGTTGTTCCTATTAAGTCCCTGTTCAATTTCTTGACACGTATTCTCTATCCACTTTTTCTTCGCTTCTTTCTTTCCCTTTTAATCCGTTTGTTGACGCTTTTGTATTCGTGGACATATTTTGGCTCGGACAGCTTTTTCCCTTTCAGCTCCCGTCGCTTGTCACAGAGTTGGAGTATATCCTCTGTTACCCAGGGTTTTTTTGGGCGGGCGGAGCTTCCCTAATATTTCCAGGGCTGTATTTGTGATTGCTGTGTTTAGCATATTGACTTGCGTGTCGATATCCTGGTCTTTGGAGTCCAAGATATTGATGGCTGCAAAGCGTCCTTTTACTTGTGCCTCGAATATGGCAGCTACTTGGGGGTCTTTCAGCTTGTCCAGGTCAAATTTTATCCTGGTAGGTCCTTGTTTTGTTACCTTTTTAAACATGAATGGAAAAAACAAAATCACCACTTAGTCAATTAATTTCTGGCAATTAATTATTTTGCTGATACAAACAAATGAAATAAATACTCAGTATTCACAGAAACGGCTAAATATGTAGGGTTTCGTTCCTTTAGATAAATAAACATGTTAATTCTCAAACGCCCATCCTAAATGAAGTTGAAAATTTAAATATTTTTTTTACCCAATAAAACATGAATCTTTGTTATATGTGGAATAATGGAAATAACTTCTATATTATTGAGAGATATAGTTGTAAGTGCGGAGTTCTTTCCCTTAGAAAAGTTGTTGTAAATGGAATTTAAAAATATTTTGCTTGTTTTAAAATTTGATTTTTAAATAAAATTCCGATCTCCAGAAACACTTCATGAACATTAAAAAAAAAATTACAGTTATAACGAATATATTGTGCATTTATATGAATGTTTCACTTAGGGTTCGTGGGCAAATTTGGCTTTATAAAAGGGTCCCCGGGTAAAAAAAAGGTTTAGGAACCACTGACATATACAATACAAAGTGACGTCTGCTGCTTACTAAAGACGCGCGCCAGCCAGCGTCATCTCTTCCCTAGAACGTGCGACTCCAGTCTTGTGCCAGTTGAGGTGACCACTTCCTCTTGCCAACTGTCAAGTATGCTGCTGCTTTGTCGGGTGGAACCTCGTCCCACACCCCTCCCGCACTCAGATTAAAAACTCTCTCATCACTTCCTCGCCCTAAAGTAACGACTCACGGGTGCCCGCCTCGCCTTGAGATCAACTGATAATATTTTTTTCTGTCTCTTTTTTTTTTCGTTATTCAAAATTGTATTTCTTCTCCAAGTAACTATAAAAACTAGTATCGGAATTATCGAGAAATCTAAATTTACGCTGTGATTGCAATGTGGTTTGTCTCTTTTTTTGTTCTACTTTGCATCAAGTTTATTAATCTGCTTCCTGACTCTTGGATATAAGGAAAAGAAGGTTTCAGTGCATGAAGCTTATCGTGATAAAATTTGAAGTTTAAAAATGTTAAAGGTAATGAAACGAAAATAGGATTGCTACTAACTATTGGAAGGGAGTTACAATACAAAGTTATAATATTATATTAAGGAAGTTACAATACAAAGTTATTAAAAGTTGTTGTTTTTATCATTTCTTTATGTAACAAAAATAATTCGCCACTACTCGTCTGTGCTGTTGAACACGTTGCTAGTCCCCAAGGATATATAACGAAAGTGAACAAGAATTCGTCAAAAGAAAACAAAATATTCCTGCTTAGTATTTCTACTTTTTAATTTACCAGTGATTTATTTCTTTGTTATAGTCTTCGTGGACTTTTTAAGGAATTAAATGTATCATTTTGTTTACTTTTATTTACAATAAGACTGTGAAAATCACCAATCAGTAAGTCTAGTCACTAGTTCGTTCTCTTTATAGTACTTACACACAACTTTTGAAATGTTGATATTATAAATATTCCACTTAAACACATAATTAGAGACGAAAATAGAAATGAGATTTACCAATTTTAAATTGCTAAATGTTTACATTTAACATCAAATACTTCGTCTTTGGTATTAGTACGTATTACTCAAATTGTGAATATAAATGTACATATATCATTACCATCTCCACGATACATACTGGAAACAATATTGGTTCTAGGTGTCCAACTAAACAATACAGTTGAAGACCGAAATAACCATAATAGAGGATAGGCAAGAACCCCCCAAGTATTCAGACTGCATTCAAAATAACAGGAACATGAAATAAAAAAAAAGATTATTTAAAGTTTAATTGTAATATTAGTTTAAATCAGTAATGCATAGACATAATCAATCCGTGCGATTAAAAATATTGTTGCAATTGCTTTTGTTTAGCTTTTAGATTTCTCACCACGCTATGATCCTTCACTTCTCTGGACCAGTTGTGAAAGTAGAGGTGAAGAAGCCAGTATCTCGATGAATGTTTACAGGATCGTTTTTTAAACGCATAAAACATTTTCTTAGGAGTAAAGTAACATATTCTGAAGAGTGTTCTTATTTTACATGTATATTCCTTCCTCTACGTTGTTTCGCTGGGGTAGAAACACAACTTTCCGGAGCCTCCGACTTCAAGATCTTTTCCTTTTATCGGCCACCGCTATTAGTTTTGTTTCTTTTTGTATTAGAGGGAGATGCTTTTTTTTTATATAAATCATTTTTTTTGTCTTTTAAGCATTGGACTGCAACTTCAGCAATACACAAAAAGATTCTTTAACTTCAGAAATGTGTGTTTGGTGGTCAATAGGTTAAATAGTTTTAAAAAGAAAACAACGCATGTCTTGTTTGCTTTCCAAAAGAGAATTCTTACACACGGATATCTGGAATAAACTGGATATATCAGACACAGCCCAGTTTCTGTCTTGGACAGGACAGTATAATTATTGAGGACAGTTACCAATAAATATTTTGGAATTATTCTCTGTATGGTGGAGGAGACGATCACTTTGTTTCTGGGGTAAGTAAATAATAGATTCGAACTGTTTTTGTGAATTGTATATATGAATAGTATTTAAAAATTATATATGTAGGTATATAATCGCGAACACTAAAATACGAACAATTATTGAAACTGGTAAAGGGAAATAAGGCGAAATAAAAGAAGCATGACCAGGGCACCACTAGGGATCTCCGATTCTGTAACAGCAATAACAAGGCGACCAGGTCAGCATGGACACGGCAGCCCGAATATTTATATCAATCTAATTGGTCTGTTAAAACCAAATTGAACAGAAAGAGAAAGGGAGAGAGAGAGAGAGAGAGAGAGAGAGAGAGAGAATGATGGATACAGAAAGAAAAATAAAGAAAGAGAGAGAGAGAATCAAAATGCTTTAAAACTAATGCTTAAGGGACTATGCTTGTCTCAAATGCAATTCTAATTTTTTAAAATAGTTTCGCCCAAGAGTATAGATGTCTCATTGTATTGATTGATCTCGTTTTAAAACCAACTAAAGAGCAACCTTTGTTTACTAATGTCTTCACTTCTCTCTATCCTAGAGGATAAGCAGAATCTAAATTGCCATATGATATGTATATATATATTTATATATATATATATATATATATATATATATATATATATATATATATATATATATATGTATATCAACAGAAGCTCTAATTAGTAATATATGTGTGTCTATTTCTCAACAAGAAACGAACCACTGATGAATACGGCCATTCATTGCCAATATTGATTTAATAGTTTAGGTACACTCAGGGACGGGTTAGGAGGTCTAGAGGCCCCGAGGGCACGGCAGGAGCAAGGACCCCTTATTATTTTCTGAAAAAAAATATTTTTTTTTTCGTTTAGTCAGTCAAATAAAATTATTTTAACAAGAAAAGAGTAATTTGTTAAAGTCAATTATAAATTTATTACACATTAAATTACCGAGCAACTGAATTGAACTTTGTGAACTTTTTGTTTCCTAGAAAATTCGTTATGATTTCCCAGAAATCTCTGTTAGGAAGGTTCCTCCCGGGACAGTGGCCCCGCCTGCCCTTCGCTAATAGATCTGACAATATAGTCATTTGTGTGTATCTTGCCTGTGTGAATTAAAATTAACATTTGATTATTCAATACATATTGAAATCCATTTTTATTATTGCTAAATAACTTTTTTGTCTAAGTGTATATTTTGAGCTTAAAAGCTTGAGCTATTGAGTGAAGTCAAAACAAAACAAAATTTAAAAAGGGTTGGGGGTGATGATCATTCTTACCCTCTCGGCGTGACAAATCATTCACAGTGACTGGATCGAACTGGTTCCAGGACATTACCTTCTAGAGACATTACGATGTCTATCAGTTGACACTGTGGTGACATGCAATTAGCTGACCTTTCCTTTCATGGCTATTTGAGTGTTTAGATGTAACCTATATATTTCAGTGCTAATGGAAATGGACTACATATACATATTAATATATTTTTAATTACGTCATACAGTGTTCTCATTTACTCTAACCTTTTTTTAGTGTGGAAAACACTGTCGAAATAAACGATATCAGCACATCAAGCACAATTTCTTTTTTGTTTACCAGAGCAAGGACTGCCAAGTGCTATCTAATATCGCACTCATGCGTTTGTGTGATTAACATAATTGTAATCTTTGCTTTTAGACAACGTAAAGCTTTTACTTTAATCAAGATCTAGATTATTCCATCTATATATTATATCCCCTCTAGATTTAGAATTGGACCTCAAAATATGTCAGAGAGAATTAGAGAGAGTATCCAAACAAAATATTGTCAGGGAGAATTAGAGTCCTGAACACGCCAAGAAACCAGCCCAGTCTTCTATAGTCTATGTCTTACATGAAGTAGGAAGATATATTGCAAGCTGTAATATCAGACCCTCTGTTGAAATGAAGACATGTCTGTTCTCTATTTCAGTTGTATATGTTTCATTACTCACTTATATTTCCCTATAAACCAGGCTGTAGTTTTACCTTCTTATTATGACAGACACAGTTATAAAACCTACTGCTAAATTTTGGTTTGTTCAGTGAAAGTATAATCACAGCAAAATCACTTTAGAAGGGCCAAATCAGTTTATCAAAGGGCCAAATCAGTTTATCAAAGGGCCAAAAGACAGTTTTAAATGGCCCAGAACACAATCTTATAAAGTCATTACAAAAGCAATACTATACACTTCTTGAGAAACAAACAATTGAAGTGTCGTAATATAAAGTTGACATAAGCTAATTACGATGCAATTGATTATCGATTAAGACTGTGGAAGAGTGATATAGATTCTGAATACTATTTCTATGTTATATGTGCATAGAAAGTTTGAGTAGAGTACTATTAAAACACATTTTTGACCAGACCTTTATGGCCTATTTAGTAGTATTTCTTCTATGGCCTTAGAATGTATGTAATAAGTCATATTGGTTGCATCTAAGCTTGTCACGAGGGCGTCAATTATTAATATTTCCTCCAATTGTTTCCCTTGGCCTCCCTTGCTAGCTCTCGCATAGCCACATTCTCATGCAGCTCTGACGTTTGTTAGTAGATAGATATATACATAAAGAGACTAGGTTATCTGTGTTCGTTTCTCTTTAAGAACGCGTATTTGTGTGGGCGTGTGTGTGTGTGTTTATAAATCGCTGGTGTGATCAATTTTGTATTTTTTTATGTTTCATTGGGCAAACGTTTAAGGTAAGCAGGTGACGCAGGCTTTATGACGTCACTAGCACGCAAGCTTCTCGTCGGCTTTTTGTTTTGTTTTGTAATAGAAAACAAATTATTCGCCACTGGCCTATATAAACAGTAAAAATAAAAATTGAAAATCTGTGTGTGATGACTTTCTAATTGTTATTGAACAACAAACATCTAATCAAAGTAAGAAACTCTTAATGCTCTACTTAATATCAATCTGCAGCACTTTATTCACTACTAAGTATCTATCTCACAACCTACATCAGCAGGCCTTGACGTTCAACCGAGTGGTTCAAGTGTCGTTCTACATTCCTGACCTAACGTTACTCCCGCTAGGCTGACCCGTTCAACCACTGGGGAGGTACAGGATAAGGGTGTAACTTAAGGATGACACTCATACCCCACGACCAACACACGCACATTGAAATCCTTTCACAACACCGTGGTAAGTGAAAGTCGGAGCCGCCAAAGACTAAGGGACCACTATATCTGTTAAGAATAATAATTGAAATCTATAAAGCGCTGTTAACAAAACAAAATGTAGGTCTCAAGGCGCTGTGATAACATTACAAACATAAACACGAGAGTTCAAATGACAACATGATCTCAATTTTTATTTTATTTTATAAATTTTTTTTGCTACGAAACAAATCTTGTAACAAATCGTAACAAATTTGTATACCCCCCCTCCTTTTTTAGCTGTTACGTAATATCCGAACGTCCCATGATATCTATTCAATGATATTCTATCTTTGCTTATCAGACATTTTCTTAAATGTAAAACGAATTGTTCTCCACTGGTCTATATTAACAGTATAAATATAAGTTCTGTCGTGTGAAATACTTCAGATATATATATTCAATGATATTCCGTCTTTGCTTAATTAGATATTTACTTTTTAAAGGCAGGGCAATTTATTGATTAGAGCCAACGGAATTACTTTGTTAAAGAAAATATGTTTGTGACCTACTTCACTATACATTAATCCTTCGTTTATAACCTACTCACTAAATGTATGTATATAAAGTCGAGGCCGAACTTCATATTTTATGTTCACTATCTACTGACACAATTATGTAAAAAAAATGCCCATAATCTATTGATTCACTTCTGAAAGTAATAGGCCATGGCCTACTGACAAGAGTTTAGTGACTGATATTTTGCTTTGATTTAGTTTATTTTGGGTGAGATTTTAATATTAAACCATCACTTGTCCCAATGCAGCCAAGGGGGAGTTTAAAACTCCCTACCAGGGGGTTTTGCAGTTGAATCCCCTTCTTCTATAAAACAAAACAAAAGAAAATAATGCCAACGACAATCCCCAAATTCCAAGAGTAAAGCTAAGGTAGATTTTGATTTTAAAACCTCCACCGAAATTAACGATAAAACCCACCCTGTGCGGTAGGGGCGATCGCCCCCCCCCCCCCACTCGGCCGACCCCCCGCGAATTTTATTATAGAATTTACACAATTTGTATACGAATTTATTACTTATGTTAAAATATTTACTAAGTATTTATATTTCAACCTATTTTTAGATTATTTCGCCCCCCCCCCCCAGTATCTTGGCCGATTTGTTGGGGTCGGGAGGGGGCGATGGTATCATTGTCGCCCCCCGCCATACACTTTCGAGTGGGGGGGGGCGGTCCAATTTATTTGTAGAAATCACAGCTTGCTAACAAAATCAATTAAATATCTATATGATTAAAACTTGTTATTGATATATTAACCGATCTTTATATTATGTCGTTTGCTGTTTGCCGATTGATTGGGGGGGGGGGGGGGGATAGCACTACTGCTATCAAAATTAGTTGAATAAATATATAATTTTTATATTATGTCGCTCCCTTTCTGATATATTGGCCTATTTGGTGGGGTTGGGGGGGGGAGGGCGATTGCATGTACTGCCCTCTCCACTCTAGCTCTCTGAGTGCTGGAGGGGGCCGTTTCTTTTTTTGTGGAGAATCATAGTTTGTGAACAAAATTAGTTAAATATCTATATAATATAAACTACGTATTGATATGTGACCCATTGTATATTATGTCGTACCACACTCTCAAATTGTATCATTAGTAAATTTAAATGAAAAGGGTTGTACCAGGTGGGAGGGGCGATACATGCAATCGCAATGCCCCCATCGGACAAATCAATACTTTTTCTTTTTGTATTACAGTTAAGAAATTACACAATTTAAAAAATCTGTAACTAATATAATTTATATATACTATGAATTAAATTCTTATATCGAGTCGCCCCACCCCCATTCTTTAATGCTAAATGCAATCTTTAGCAGAAATTATTAAAGGAGCGAGGATTAATCGTTTTCACTCTACCGCTCTGCCATTTCCAGACAGAGTTTATGTAATTTCACATGAATTTATCATAATTATTTTAAGAAAGACTTTGCATTGAAAAAGTTAGAATTCAAACGAAATTTTTAAGTATTAGAGTCGTGATTGAGATGAGTTCTAAACTCGAATAATGATCACATAGTCGCCTTTTCCCAACCTTTACTCAATCTGATATTTTTCTAGTTAAATAAATTTGGGACTATAACTCACAATTTATTTATTAATTTTCTTGAATACTATTTATCGAATATTTTTTTTTCGGCGGCGATCCTCAAAACCAAATCTAAATATATGGGGTATCTTATCTTTTCAAGGAACAAATCGGTTTTATTTGCAATGTATTTAGGGCCTATCAATTCATATTGGAATATTTTTCAAGTACAACATTATTCAAAAGGTCCTTTTTTAATAGTATGAATAATGAGCTTTAGGTCAGGAGAATGCGTTTCTCCAGTGAAGAATGCAAGAAAAACGCTTGTGACGTCGGCGCTTCGCCCCTAACTCCATTGATGAATAATGAGCTGTAGATGTCAGGAAAATGCGTTTCTGCAATGAAGAATGCAAGAAAACGCTTTTGATGTCGGGGCTTCGCCCCGTACCCCACTTGTGGACCTTATAGCGCTGCCCCAGTTTTGTTTTTCGCCGAAAGTTAAGAAATGCTGCTTTTTTTATTCTCATATATATATATATATATATATATATATATATATATGTGTGTGTGTGTGTGTGTGCTGTACGCACGTTTATGCATAGGGTTAGGGTTTACTGGGGGTTAGGGTTTGGAAAAAAATCGACTCCCCCACTCCAAAATTCTGGATCCCTTAGTGCCCTACAGAGAGTTTTGAGGTTGAAAACCTCTCTCTTCCATATTATTCTAAAACAAACTAGAGTCACTAAATTCTATGAGCGTAGCTTCGGGGGTTTTGAATTTGTTTAAAAAAATTCAGAGATTTTTTTTAGTTTAAAACCCCCCAACAGATGATTTTGACGATAAAACTTCCCTTTTTGATATAAAATCTGTAGCAAACTACAGTCACCTAATGCCAAGAGCGTGGCCAAGAGAGGTAATAAATTTCTACCAGTGGCGGAGCTCCACCAATAAAGTGAAGTGAATAGTCATCTGCCGAAATTGAAAAAAGACTAAATGTGGCTCAACAAAGATGGCTTAGACGGATTTTAGGAGTCAGTTATAGAGACCGGGTCTCAATCAAGGAAATCCTTTGCCGAACCGGAAGTCGAGCCCTTAGTAAAGTTGTGACAGAGCGTCGCATGAGGTTTGCGGGACATGTCTCTGACAAAATGAATTACGCATAATAAGAGTTGCAATGACATGGGGGCCATTACAAGGAAAGAGCAAACAGGGAAATCCTATTACAACTTGGCACCACACGTTTATGGAGGTTCTAAGAACAGGTGGGAAGAGGCTTCAGACATTGCCAGTGACAGATTTTTGTGTAAGCAGCTTGCCGCCCAATGCGCCGAACGTCGCGGGAGGATATAAGTAAGAATAGTACATTAGGTTTTTGAAATAAAACAATGACCTACTGACACACTTTAAAAAAACATATTCTGAGGTATCTACAGTGCAATTAGCCTGCTACTCTTCCGCTAAAAAAAAATTCAAAACCCAATTCTGCTATTCAATGGAGTTCAGCGACTGGTAGAAAATGGTAAAATGCTTTAGTTTTTGTATTGGAGGGGGAAGGGAAACCAAAAAAAAACACTTTTGGCTACGCTCATGAAATTTGGTGACTATAGTTTGCTTAAGTTGGCTGCACTGGGGCAGTAAGTAAAGTTTTCCTTTTAGACAATGAGGTCTGAGGCAAGTGATGGTTTGATGACCCTCCCCTCCCGGCTACACCCATTTGTTATATTATAGGTGTAAGCCTAATTCTGTTCAAAATATATATATAAAGTTTGATAACGCATCTAAAACTGGATGTATGCATTCGTTGGATTACATAATGTATTCTATTTATACATATAGCCTATGTAGTCTGAAAACTATAAACAATACAATAGCAGCCTAATGAGTTTGAAGCTTTTTTGGTATTACTTATAGATTACAGACGTTTCTTCAAAAAATAAGATTGTTACGTCTAGTCATGCATGTTGATCTGTGACTTAAAATATGCTAAATCATTGGTTTTTCTGGCTGACTCAGGCAACCCATTCCATTAAAAGATAAGAAAAAGCAGAACGATTAGAGAGGCACTTACTTAATATGAAAAGCTCTTGCTTCCTCTTAGTACATTCTCAAAAACGCGTTTTGTATATGAATATACCATGACCCATTATTTAAATTTTCATTAAATATAGGATGTGACAGCGCTATATAAATTATTGTAATTATTGTAATAATTTTCATCATTAATGACTTCATAATAAGCATAAGTTTGCCATTAATTATAATAGTATAAAAATGGATTTAGATCTAGATTTATTAAATAATTTTTTAAGCCTTAAGTGTAGTATTTTTAGATCTATGTTATTAAAAATAAACAAAAAGAAACTTACTTTTTTCTTTTCAAATCACAGAAAGTAGAGCTTTATACCCATATTGAGCTGTGAATAAGCTGGGTGGCTTGCAATTTCGCGGCTGTGTGTATTTGTTAAAGTTAATTTCTATTAAGTATTGTTAAAGAGCTAATTGTTGCACCTATCTTTTTTTTTTTTTTTTTAATTATTTTTTTTGCTGCATTATATCAATGTTTTCTAACTTAACCTCTCTCATCCCTCTTTTTGGTTAGTTTCATTGGAACCATAAATAGACGGGGGAGGGAAGGAGCAAAAAAAAAATGGGAGTGCCATCAAAGGCCCATGCCGACCAGCAAAATAATGAGGCCAAACACAACCTCGAAGACGTCAAAGCAGTCCGTGCCGCTCGTGCATAGCAGAAAGTACGGTCTAACGTTTTGGAAATGATAATACGTACAGTGTATAATGTATTTTGTTTTTGATATTCTTGTTGAATTTCAAACAAAATTAATTGTAATAAGAATATTTAAAAAAAACAACAAGAAAACGTGTTTTGTGTCTTGATGCTGTCACTTTGTTTTTAAGTTGTCTGCATTGAAATTTTTTTTTCTTTGGTCGCTACCAGACCGGCCCATTTGGTACCGGCCCACCGGGCATTTGCCCGTTTGCCCATATAGCCAGTCCGCCCCTGTGTTCATCTCTAAGTTGTTCCCTAAAGCACACCATATTGAACGATTACTGTTGCCAACTAAATATGGAGGAAAATCGCATCCGGAAAGTCATTCTCTACGGACAACTCGCGACTGGCTCAAGTAAAACTGGTCTCCCCCACCTCCGTTACATAGATGTAATAAAACGGGACCTCAAATCATTGAATATCAATATTGACCATTGGGAAGACATAGCTATAGACCGCGCCGGATGGAGAGAGAGAGAGTGACCAAGAAAGCTAAGACAGCAAAAAACGTGGGCCGCAGCTCTGGAAGAAAAACGTACAATGCGAAAAATGGCCATCTCCTCTACCACTGAAGGGAAAGCCACCTTAACCTGCGATATTTGTGGACTGGAGTGTCTCTCCAAAATAGGGCTCCACAGCCACAAGAGGAGGTGAGCGAGATGAACCATAGTCGTTCTACGACTGAAGGAGACCAACAACTGTTGCCAACTGAATAACTAAAAAAAGTGTTTTGCTACTAACGAAAGAGCTCAGATATTTCATTGTAAATTGCTGAAAAGTGAGCCAAATACACAGATAATCAACTTGTTCCAGCAACTTTTTCTATGCTATAAAGCAATTTTACATGACAAGAAAGTCAAGAATCAAATCTAGGACACTAACTTTTATTTCACTTTATTTTTGTTGCAAATAACCACTCTTTAAATACATCTTCCTATTATCACTTATTACAAGGCTATTATATATATATATATATCTTCTGTACAGCGGAAACATCAAAGGATAACTATTTATAGTTATTAGTCATATTTTAAAAAAAATCAGATTCCGAAAATAGGTTAGAGGCGTTTATTCCAACAGATGTGTGTTAGTTACGAAATACTCCTGCTGGGTAGGTTGGATTAGCAGTATCGAGCTATAGCCTAACGAACGTACCAATCAACACCTCGTTTCCCAGAATTCCACACCTAACTCGAAACTCAATTATAAATTCAATTATAAACTCCATAATAAATTCGATAATCTGAATACGATTCTGGTATTTATTTAACACGGGCTCTTGAATTAATATTTGATGTAGCAAATTAGTGAGTAGATGTTTTTTTTTAATAAATTTATAAGTATTCTGGTCAACTTTCATAGTTCGAACATCTGTGAGTACAGAAATCGATGTTTTATCTCGGTGATCAAGTACACAACTGACCGCTTCCATTAGCGTTTAGATTATCTATACTTTAGAGCTCAATTGAACACAGTTTTACAGTCAATACAGTGGCTCTATTTGCTGTAGTCCAACTGGGGTCGGTATTAGTTCAATTAACAAAATGGCATAGTTAGGAGATTTTAGAATGTCGAGTTCAGTGACTCTGAATGTAACATATTCCGCTCTATTTCTCTCACTGTCCCTTCTTCCCTTGGACTACACGTAGACTTTGGTGACTGTAGTTTGGCTTAAGTTCTTCTTGTTGTTAGAGGAGTGTATTAACCTCAAAATGCCTCCCCCCTCCTCCTTAACTACGATCAAAATTATCCGTTAGTTCAAAAGAGAAGAAATTACGTCCTACAGTAGCCACGTGTCAGTCTAATCATGGATCTTGATCTACTAAGTCGTTGGGTTTCCTGGCTGATTCAGGCAACCCATTTCATGTTCTAATGGCACTAGGGAGGGGGAGCACTTGTACTAATTTGTCTTTGCTTATGGAATCTTCTTCTTCTTCCTAAACTGTCAAGTAGAGTTGAGCCTTCGGCTCTTGGAACTCTAGGCCAGCAAAAGTGAACAAGAGTTCCTCTCACCGGCCTGAATGAGAACAGTGTACACTGTTCTGTCTGACGGGTGGGTCAGACTCGCGGCAAGAGACCGCGTACACTAAGGCCCCCGCTATTTTCCTTTTCTATACCAGGCTAACTGTGCCTGACACGCCATTTATGTAACGGCCCCTTGAGGAACAGCGCCTGGATTGTGACAAGGTTGTGGGAGCTTTTTTACAACTCTCCGTGCAGTGCAATGAGGATGCTCTCGCACCCCCTTAGGCACCCCACGGGAGTCTTGTTTTGCAACCCTTTAGCCTAATCGTTTCCTCTTACGATCGTTTCCACCCGGGCGCCATTATGAGGCATGGTAGCATGCCCGGGTTGCATATGGAATAAGAAATGTACTTTTATCTTTGTGTCTTTCTGAATATTTAATTAGGTTTTGTTTTGTATTTGTTAATTATGGTTCAAAGTTTTATTTATCATTGCGACTTAACTTAGTAGTTTTCTGTCCTGAGGCGTCTCTTACTCAAAGTAATGTTATTTTAATGGTGTTACTATAATCAAATGGGAGTATTCCTTTGTTATAAATTTCACAAATCTTTTTTGCGGTTATTCTAGATTAATTGTTTTCTTGAAGGGTCCCAAACAGCCTACAATTATTGTAAGATTGGCTTAACGGAGATGAAATAACATTTTAGTGTGTTTCTCTTTGGAATTGTAAACATTACTTTTGATAAAGCAAAAACATTTTTGTGATTTTTTAAAATAATTTCGTCGCTATGTGGATTACATGTTTCTCGAGAATAGAGCTCCACAGTAACATTACAAGTAATCTACGAGATAAACCTTAGTCGTTCTAGGACTGAAGGAGACCGACAATGTTTTTTTTTTTTTTTTTTTTTTTAATTATCCTTAGATATTAGGGCTATTTTATCTATGTATTCACTCTGCGGCTGTCAGCTAGTTTTTAGGGTTAGGTGTTTAAAGATACTTATTATGGATTTACTCTGCCTTAGTTTCTTCATTTTTTTTTTTGGTTATTTGGTAACTGTACTTTTGTTTTAGTTATTTAATAGAGAGTTGTATGAGCCTAAGGCCCCCCCCCCCCCCCCGTTACAACGGGCTATGCTTAAAATGTGGTAACTCTATTAATGCATGCATTAGTTTCTAAGAAAAACAGCAAATCTTCTTCTGTGAGTGGCCCCCTACACTCGGATATAGGATAGTGATCACTTTCGATGCCTATG